GGGAGGGGGAGGATGGGTGAAGAGAATGATATTGTGGGGATCACGCCTATAATTTATCCTATTAGGGTACATGTGAATTTGTCTAAAGGTTGAATATATGTCTTAACACAACAATTATGAGAAAGACATGATGGCTATGTTAGCCAGTTGGATGAGAGTTTTCCAAACTGCATATGGAAGCAACACACTGTATCCTATGATAGAATTAATGTACACAATTATGATCTAATAAAAAAATAAAAAAGAATATCTTTGTACCTAACACCCAGGTTAGGAAATAAAACACTACCAATGAAAAAAAAAAAAAAAAACATGGTGACCCACGGATTCCATCAAAAGTTTGTGCTGTGACTTATTTAGCCAGTCTACCTGATGAACATTTAAGGGTGTCCAACCTTTTTTTCTCCATTGCACATTAATTAGCAAAACCAAAAAAAGTTTGAACATACTTTTCATGATATCCTACACCACAGATAGGCAAAAAAAGTCCTCACAAAATCAGCATGCAGCCCATGGGCCACAGGTAGGACACCCTAAGATAGTTTCCCGTCTTTATCAAAAACAATGATGCAATCATCATTATTATTATTTCTACATCACTTCACATGTGTGCAAATATATTTAAACGATAAATTGCAGCTACGGAATTCCTGGGTCAAGAAGACATATGCAACATGAAGGTTGTCCAGAAAGTATCCAGCTATTGTTAGTCTATCGTCCCTGTTACATGGCTGGATACTTGCTGAACTGCCTACCTGTGGGGAGATGATATTTTGTATCACATGTATTTTTAATATCTGTAATTCTGATAGATCTTGCCAAACTACCCCCACAGGGGCTGTACTAAATTATCCTCCCGCCAGCAATATATGGCAGTGTCTATTCCTCACAGCCTCACTCATGCAAAGTGCTGTTGAACTTGGAGATCTTTGCTGTTCTGCTAGATGAAAAGCCCTATCTTTTTGTGAAAGATGTTGGCTAGCTCCTTAGACATGTTTAAGGGCCTGCTCTGCAAACTGTGCTCTTTGTTCACAAGGCTTTAATTTGCTCTAATACATTATGAATCCTTCAGGCTCTGCAGAGTGTCAGATTCGGAAAACTGTTCCCAGAGCCTTTGCCTATAAATGTGTTTGTAGCAGGGTTCCATAAACTATAGCCTATGGTCTAAATCCTTCCCACAGCCCTTTTTTTTTTTTGGTATGGTATGCAACCTAAGAATAGTTTTTGTGGGTTTGTTTGTTTGTTTTTTAGTTAGTTTGTTTTTTTCATCATTTCACACTGGTTTGAAATACTGTTCTTTGTCACAGGTAAAATCACCAAACACACTTCAATAAATTTCTGGATTTTCCACATTTCCAAAGTAGAAAGTTCAGAGCTATACTCGGGTGTATCTGATTAATCCATTTTGTCTTATATTTCCCATGCTGCTCCTTATTTTAATTACAGCTTTGTACAGTTGGTCCTTGAACAGATGGGCTTGAACTGCCTGGGTCCACTTATCTGAGGATTTTTTCAACCAAATGCAAATGCTAAGTACAGTATTGGTGAGATGTGAAAACGCCACGTACAGAGGCCGACTTATTGTATGGCCCAGTGCAGGACTTCAGTGTGCAGGACCCACGTATGCATGAAATTTGGTATACACGGAGGTCCAGGGACCCATCCCCAAGTATATAGAAGGATGACTATAGTTTACATATATTACTTGACTATTTTCCTCCTTTTCAAGATTGTCCTGGTTATTCTGAAGCATTTTTTTTCTATATGAATTTTTTCACATTTTTTAATGGTTGGGTGAAAAATAAACAAAAAAAAAGAATTACATTTCATGACATGAAATTACATTAAATTAGAGTTTCAGTGGTCATAAATGAAGTTTTATTATCATGTCCAATCTAGGTCAGGGAGGAAAGTGTCTTTGCTCTACTCCGCATAGTCACTCAGGGACTTAGATTGATATAGACCCCGCCATCTTGCAGCCAGCCATTAAAAATACATGACTTTGGCTCGACACCTGTGGCTCAAGTGGCTAAGGCTCCGCCACATTCACCTGGGCTGGTGGGTTCAAGTCCAGCCCGGGCCCACCAAACAACAATAACGGCTGCAACTAAAAAAATAGCCAGGCATTGTGGCGGGTGCCTGTAGTCCCAGCTACTTGGGAGGCCGAGGCAGGAGAATCACTTGAACCCAGGAGTTGGAGGTTGCTGTGAGCTGTGATGCCACAGCACTCTACCCAGACAAGAGCTTGAGGCTCTGTCTCAAAGAAAAAAAGAATACGTGACTTCCAGGTGGCCATGGAAGAGAAAAAAATTTGCACTCACTATTCTATACCTCTGCCTAGAATGTTTTGCACCCTGTCCTAGACTGGACATCATATGTGAGCGAGAAATAAATTTTCATTGTGTTATAAGCCACTGCGAGTTCTAAGTTCTTTGCAATTCTAAATAACAGACTGATAAATAAAGTAACAAGTAACATGTGCCCTGAAAGGAGCACACTATGGTAATAATAATATTTTTCTTAGACTGGTTTGTGGATAA